TCGATAAGGTTTTAAGTTAAAAGTAATTACCCAGGCAGCACACTTTGATATAAATTACGTATTTTTTTAGCTATTACCATACGTATGAATACGGTTGATGTACTACCAAATATATTCGTGAAAATGTCCGCCTTATAAACATATATTATTTGTCATATATAAACGTCGATTACTAAGAATTTATCCACCTATAATTAAACGTTTTTACTATACGTCTATATTAGATTTATAGTTGTAGTATATTTATACGAATCCACTTTGGTATAAAAGACGATTTTTTATGTACTACAATATATACGTTTGGATACCGTTGATATGCTACCCAATATATACGTGAAAATGTCCGCCCTATAAACGTATATTTTTTTAATTTTTTATACGTCTAACATTACTACTTTATCTACCTTTAATTATCCTGTTTTACTATACATCTATATTAGATATATTTGTATGATTTTTATTAATATGTAAAATGCGTTACCTGATATTGTTTTAAATGTTTTTCAAACACAAATTAAATAAAGTGATCAAAACAAAATTTCTAAAAGAGGCCATGGAAAAATGTTAATATTTCTTAAATAACAGTTTGGATTTCTTCCATAGCAGGTGTGTATACCAGAAATAGGCATTACTCGTGTTTCTATTTTAGTTGTAATTGGCCTAAATATTTAGGAAATCACTTGTTATGTGTACAGAACAATATTTTATTAAAAAAAAAAACAATAAAATACTAAAAAATAAATAAGTACTAAAAAATTAACACTAAAATACTGAATAACAAACTAAACAGAACTTTTCTTTAAATAAAAAAAAATATATATGAAAATTAAAATCTTAGCTTAACACTTTGGATGTGTTGTGTCCTAGACGGGCCTTAGCTAACTTAGGCCAATCTTGCATGGCACACCTAATCGTTCGGTCGGTTAAGTCGCTTGGTTCACCCCATTCCTATAACCAAAATGTAACTCAATTTCAGGTGAAATATTTTCTAAAAACTCCGAAGTTAAATTTGTATTATTTTCTTGGAAATTATAAATAATAGAATCAGATGATATATTTATGTCCGAAGCTTTATTAATGTTATCTTCATTATGAATAAAAAAAAATTGATTTGATTTTAAAGCATTTTGAATATTTTGTGCTATTTTTCTACGTAGATGACGCCGAGACAGGATCATTTTAGACATTTTATTAAATAAAAAACAACTGACCAAAAAAAAAGGAAAGTAAGTAGCCTGAAAAATACGTATAAAAATAAGAGAAACAAAAGTAAGGTTATGTTTTGGAGTTTCTATAAACATTTACACACTGTACCTAGCTATAAAACAGTAGTTGTTGTAAAATGCAACAATTATTAAAAGAGTAGCTAAATTAAAACATTAATAGAAACTTACCTATGCTTTTAATCAATATCGTAAAAGCCAGGACGCCAAAGCAGCATGCAATGCAACAAAACGTGTACACAAATGAAAATGGACGAACCTGGTGCTGCCACAAACCATTCCCTACACTGAACAATAATACTACACATACGTATGAGTAGAAATGAGAAAAGACCGTACCAATAGAACGTCATCCTCCATCCGCCATCTAAAAATAGTTCCGTGTATATGGGGAATTTGTTATAAATATTACAGGTAATATAATTAAAAAAATATGGATATAATGTTAATAAATATACTCGTATCTATAAGCTTTTAATTTAAATAAACCTAAATATATACATATTATTTTCTTATGTCTACTAGTTCATCGTAAACTGGTAATATTCGTTTAAGATGAATTTCATTTAAACGTTGAATAATATAGGCATATTAACTAGTATCGACAAACAAAAGCATTTAATTTATCTGTTAAAAAACGTTAAGTATAAAAATGGTAGATGGTAAATGTTTAAAAAGTCAACCAAGACGAAATTTAAACGGGAATTATAAACGAAGAACACATATTGTAATATTATGTAAATTTATACAAATTTAATTTAAATAAACCTAAACGTATATTTAGGCCCACTGTATATAAATAGTTCATCGCAAACTAAAATTAGTCGTATATTGTTAACTATATTTAAACGTAGAAAAATTTACACTTATATACCATAGGATGTATATAAAAAACGTATAATATATCGTTTAACACGGTATGCATAATAATAGTAAACTGTAAACGTATACGGAATCAATACCAAAATTAAACGAGTATTACGTATAAAATACGTAAGTTATACTAATGTGTGCTGCCTGGGTATTCAAGAAAATCAAAACCGCAAGTCAGTCAGAACTTTCGTTCTAGAGTGTTCGTGCCGGCATACATACACACAGACGACCAGACGAATTTTTTTTTGCATTATCCGACTCAGAATGATCGGAAAACATAAAGTTTTGAAAAATGGCAGTAAGAATAATAAATAAATAAAGTATGACTATCTGTCAAAAGAAACGGTTTATTACAGTAATGGTATGTCTAGTTATAGAGTAATTGTAGATAGTTTGTTGACAGAAGTTTCATTTTTAAAGGTTTTTTTTTAATTTTTATTTTTTTTACTTTTTGGCGGCTTACGATAAATTGACAATGCCTTTATTAATTAGGCTTATGTATTTACCAAATTGTGCCAAAATATCTTTCTAGTATGTCTAGTTATGCATGAATTGTAAATAGATTTGTCCAGGCGTTGCATTTTTAAATGATTTTTAGAATATTTAATTGTTTTTCTTCCTCTACTTGCGATACATTGAAATTAACTTTATTAATTAGGCTTATGTATAGATTAAATCGTGCCAAAATATCAACTTCATAGTAGGTCTAGTTTTAGAGTTATTTTAGAGTGTTTGTTGACCGCAAAAATCAAAATCTTAAAATTACTACTTTTCCTATTTCTGTTAAATGCAAATTTTCTTATATCTGGTTTATTATCTATTTTATAGTTTATATTTGTTTAAAATCTTCTTGTTTCACTTTTTTATTTAATAATTACCGCAACATTAATTTAATAAATTTCAGTAATCTAAGACTGATGCCGCTATTCAATCGGGTACCTTTGCCATTTTGGCTGCCAAATTTGGTCTGCTAAGTTTACACTAGTGTTTTTTGAAGATGGGAGAATTTGTGAATTGTGAGCCAAGGTGGACCTGGATTTTCCTACATTTTAATACATTGGTATATTCGACACTTGGATTACACCTTAGAGTATGATCACACGTGTACCAAACGTCAAAAAAATATACTGGGTATTTCCCAAGTTATTAATGAGAAAAGAAATGGACTAACTTGATATCTGGGTTATAAACGGCTAAAGACCTATTCGGAGTAATTTAGAATAGCCTTTATAAACGGTTAATGTATCTTCATTTCCCAATAATTATCACTGTATAAAAATGTTCTTTAAATGTTCTTTAAAACCCCAAATATCAATGTGGGTTTAGAAATTTGGTTTTTTAGTTGATGTTTTTTTACCTCTTAATGTTTACTCCAAGAATTTTAAGAGGGAAAACTTGATTGATTGATTGCCAGTTGACACGTTTTTGACAAATTAATAAATCGTGGACTTGCAAGCAAAAGGTACTAAGTCAAAAAGGACCCCGCAATAATCTTATGGAAATTGGGTTTCTGTCAAATTGTCTGAATTTTTGTTATAGTGTAGATTTTGTCATCCTGAACAAAAGTCTTCATGGGCACAAATTGCCTCCCCTGACCCGTTGCAAAACTATTCATTTTCAATACTATTTACAGATGTTAAAAGCATATTTTAAATATTCTAATATATAGGCTAATGTTTTTGAGGTTACTGGATTCAACCCTCCTGTCAGATTGGACAAATTGACCGTTGACAGCTGTCAATTCACTGTCAACGAGGAATATAAAAGTAAATATCCTCTTTTCACATTGAGAGTTTGGGTTTTTGAGGTCGCTGAATTCAATTCTCATGTCAGATTGCACAAATTGACCGTTGACACCTGTCAACTCACGGTCAACGAGGAATTTGTCAGCTGTCAATTTGTCCAATCTGACATGAGAATTGAATTCAGCGACCTCAAAAACCCAAACTTTCAATGTGAAAATAGGATATTTACTTTTATATTCCTCGTTGATCGTAAATTGACAGCTGTCAACGGTCAATTTGTCCAATCTGATATGAGGGTTGAATCCAGTGACCTCAAAAACATTACCCTCTATATTAGAATAATTAAAATATGCTTTTAAAATCTGTAAATAGTATTGAAAATGAATAGTTTTTCAACGGGACAGGGGAGCTTTGGCAGCTCCGTAGCTGCCAAAATATTCATTTTGGCACTTTATGTCCATGGAGACTTTTGTTCAGGATGACAACATATCAAAAATTCAGACAATTTGACAGAAACCCAATTTCCATAAGATTATTGCGGGGTCCTTTGTCAAAACGATTTTATATTTGTATGTATCATATAAAAACAGTACATGGTATTTCAAAAGCATGTACATTTTCTTTGAAGCAGTTGATAATCTCTAAATAATTTAAAAATAAAATTATAACTTCATTGAAACTTAAAATTGCTTATAACTCATACATCTATTTTTTGACTTAATGCCTTTTGCTTGTAAGCCAACGAAATATTATGGATATTTATTGCCTAAAAAACTGCATATACGGGAATAGATCGGAACATTTCTAGAACGAGACAAAAAAATACAACTTTATGGGGAAAATTGTATTACATTTTATCCAACGTTTTTCAACCCCTAAAAAAATAGGAACTATTGAAAAACCTTCGAAATATTCATTCATAACTTTGATCATTTCAATATTCGATGAGAGTTTATTTTCAGTCAAATCAGGTTATTCAGGATATACGATTTTTTTTTAAATCTCATAACTCTTTAAAAAATATTGTTGACAATGAAAGTTTTCGGATATCACAAAAATCAACCTTTTGGTTTTAGTAAGTTTACTTTTGACCTATAAAACATATGATTGGTAAATGTAAATTGGTTTTTAATCAAAGAGCAGAGCATGACAATCTTACCATATAGTTTAATCTTTTTCTCCTTGGTTTCTACCAAAATTATTACATATCCACCTAAATCCACCATGGTTTGAGTGACACGAAATCTGTAAAAAAAGAAATAAAAATTACTATTCATTATAAATTATAAATTTGTGGCTGGTAATAATAAAGTCAATTGAATAAAATTTCCTTTGCGCTAATCATGAAAGTAGACGTTGTCACGTTGCTACAAAATTCGAGGACCTTAAGAAACATTTTATAAAAAACTAATGTCTAATTTAAACTCCATCTTTTGACACTATAAATAATTAATTGGTCTGGTCCTATTAATGCTACCGTCACACACTTCACATAAATTGCAGCTTTTGGATCGGACCGTATTTGGCTCATCGAAAACATATTATAACTTTGCGTCATCTAATTTTATGACTAATAATACAGGAAAAAACTTAACCTTTACGACATTGCAGGCCTACTTAGACAAGCTTATCCCAAGGCCTTTTCGCCAGAAAATATCTTTTCCAAGTTGCGGAGATTTCTCCATTTAATTCGGATATTTTTAGAGAGTACGAGTTTATACAAGTTTTATAACAGACAGGCCAAATTCAGCAGAAGATAACGACAATCTCGTGCATCCAGAAGTACATCTAACGCCATCATAAAATCCACAACCTGGACCTTTTGGTCAGCTGCTTGAGCCGCATACTGAATACTTTGCTCTAAAAATGGTATCTCCAATGGAAGTTCGATCATTTCCAAAGGCTGTACCCATGATCCAAAACACAGTACAAAAAGGTGGCAAGAGAGGTCGATGCAGGATACTAACTGATACGCCTAAGAAGAAGGAAGTAGAAGCATAACGTACTATAACATACAGTTAGCAGGTAAGTGTACTACTTTTTAACTTGTATTAGTATTGTTATAATTACTTTTTATTTTTGTTTTGTCATTATAATAAATCAGAATATATCAGTTATTGCGACGATTGACGATATTACTAAAAAATCTCTTTTTTCATAAATCCAATTTTTTACATGTATTTTGAAAGTTATATATGAAAAAATAGTTTTTATTTCTTGAAGCAGTATAAAATCAATTCTTGGAGCTAGATAATTAGCACATCTTTGACCGATAGATTTCTCAGATCTAGGGAGTAAGATGATGGTATTGTGACGATATTCATGAGGTACTAAGTTGATTTTAACGTTATAAAAATAGCAAAAATTTTTAACAATATAGTTGTCTTAAGTCATTCTTAATCATATTATTGATTCAGTTACAAAACAAAATTCATCCCAAGTACACTTCCTTTTTTTATTGTTATTTTTAACAAATGGATAACGAATTTACTGATCTGGTGATTTTGTTTGATTATTTAATTTGTGCAGTAACTCAATTTTAGCTAGCTGAAAAAAATATGTATACGAGACCAACCACAAACTATTTGTTTATGAGAGCTCAAAGCGGTATCTTGTGGATTTTATTATTTAATTCTATTTTTGTTAAAAATAAAACAAGTTTTTCTAAACGTCGAATCAAATTATCTTTCCTGCTTGGATTATTTTATGAACCACGAATATTACCGATTGGGTACTTCACAATGTGTAGGTTTACAAAGAATGAGTATATTTATATGAATAATACTCAAAGCAAATGACTACTTTTTCAAATACTCGTGTAAAATTGAGTAATGAGTATTTTAAATAATTCTAGTTAGTGACTCAAGTCAAGAAAGAAGGAATTGTAGTAATTAGTAACAGTAGGTCAGTAAGTAACTAACAAAAACGAGAATAGGTATCACGAATACTCTATCATTTAGCACTTTAGCATTAACATGTATTATATGCCCAACTTGTCTATTTTAATGATAAAGTAAAGTAATTAAGTTATTAGGTAGGGGCAGAGGTAAAGAGAGAGAATACTCAAAACAACTGTTATATATATTTTAAAATGTATATATGTTACGGTTAAAGTGTTTACTTGGCTAGTTTATAGACTAGCCTGGATAGTATACAAACTATCCAAATGTCTGGCTATTTTGATGGAAAATCATATTTCTACTAAAATGGCCATACTTATTGGTTGGTTTGTATACCATCCAGTTAGTTTACAAACTATACAAGATTTATAGCCAAAGTACAAACCACAAGAAAAGTATAGAAATTAACCGGTGTTTTTGGCTAGATTACAAACTATCCACAGTATTTGGATAAGGTGTGAACTTAATATTCGTAGTAATACATAATAACCAACTCGTCGGTTAGTATACAAACTGACCAATATTCTTTGATTAATTTTGGAATTCCTTTTGGAATTATGCAAACTTAAATACACACTCTGCTGACTTGCCTGAAACAATGACCTATGATGACAGCATTTGTGACTCTACGCAGAAAATAGTAAATAATTTTGCTTCCCTCTTTCAAAATTCATTTACCAATCCAACAAAAACATCTTTTACCCAAGCGTATCTTAACACAAATAGGAGTCACATTAATATTTTGCAAGTAGATGAAGTACTACAAGCTCTAAAAAGGCTGAAGCCAAAGTATACAAAGAGTCCAGATAATATTCCAGCATTTTTGGTCAAGGATTGTGAATATATACTTTCTAATCCCTTAACGATACACTTGAACTTATCTTTAAAATCAAATAAGTTTCCATCTGTTTGGAAATCGAGTACAATTTCTCCGGTATTCAAAAAAGAGGATAAATCTAAAATGGAAAATTATCGGCCTATTACAATTATTTCTAACTTCGCAAAAGTTTTTGAAATCATTCTTCATAATAGGTTATATAGGAATATTGAAAATCAAATTTCGCCTATTCAACATGGTTTTCTACAAGTATTAGAAATTAAAAATTTAAAAAAACCGACTTCAAAAACATGCAGATGCCGTCACCACATCTTAACCAAATTTATATGGGACCACCCCTGAGGTATCCCCTTACTAACAAAAAAGAATCATATAAATCGGACAAGGTGGTAAAGCATTATCGCTAAACATACATAAAAAATGAAGAGTTTGAGGATTTTCTCACGGACCCAATTATTATATTTTGACCAAATTTATATGGGACTACCCCTGAAGTACCCCCTTTCTAACAAAAAAATAATTATTGAAATCGGACACCGTTGAAGAATTATCGCTGAACATACATAAAAAAAAATATCGCGACGAATTGAGAACCGCCTCCTTTTTTGAAGTCGGTTAAAAAGGAAAGTCCACTGTGACAAATTTACTTTGTATTACACAGTTTATTGCTCTACATTTGGATGAATCACCGCAGGTAGATGTGCTCTATCTTAATTTCTCAAAAGCGTTTGATAGTCTTAATCACCACATTCTTCTGGATAAACTAAGATGTTTTGGCCTAAGTTCATCTCAACTTTTATTTTTTCAATCATATTTAGAACAACGGAATTTCTATGTTGAGCATAAAGGTGTTAAGTCGTCGGTTACTGATTTCACATCTGGAGTACCTCAAGGATCCGTTTTGGGACCTTTGTTTTTTAATGTGTTTATTAATGACATAACTCAAAAATTACAGTGTAAAGCACTCCTCTATGTTGATGACGTAAAGCTTTACAGATAAATTAAATCTGAAAAGGATGCTATTGCTTTACAACGCGATTTGGAAATTGTTTCTAACTGGTGCGTGGGTAATTTCTTGAAACTAAATATAAATAAGTGTTCCATTCTGAATTTTTCCCGAAAAGACTATCCGTACTATTTCGACTACAAAATTGATAACTGTAAAGAGCCGAGAGTTGATATTTTTGAAGATCTCTAGGTGTGACCTTCGACCGACAGCTTTCCTTTAATGAAGAGTATTTACTTGGCTTTAGAGCAGAGCATGCAAGGGTTTCGTAGTACCCCCACTTTTAAAGTTTATTTTTGACAAATTTTAAAAGAAAAAAATATGTGCGTGTAGGTAAAGGTTAAATCTGTGCTCCTCTGGAAACACTTTTTCAAAATTTCAATTTGTTTTTTCCTAAAAAAAAAAAACACAAAACTCGACTTTTTTGATCCATTTTCTCAATTTTTTTTAGAAAAAACTAAATTGAATTTTGAAAAAGTGTTTCCAGAGGAGCATAGATTTAACCTTTATCTACACGTACATATTTTTTTCTCTTAAAAATACTTAAAAATAAACTTTAAAAGTGGGGTACTACGAAACCTTTACATTGCAAGATTTTTCGTCTGGCAAGTGGCGCCTCTGTTAGATTTTTAAGAAATTAATATTTGGAATGAAAACAATTTACAAAATATTTTACTGATGTTTTACGAGGGATAATTAAAGTTTACGTATTTGTAGGTACACCTTATTGTTTTACGTAAATCATTTCTGTAATACTAATATAGACATATTTATATAATATGCAATGGGCTTCGTAGTACACCAATTTTACGGATTATTTTTTATTTTTTGAAAAATTATGTAAGTACAGGTAAAAGAGTCACTTTTTGACTATTTGAATTGGTTTATTTTGAGAAAATGTAAGAAGATATCTTTCTATCCGAAAAAAAAAATACAAATAAAAATGCTAGAAGAGAACAATATATGTTTTTAATTTTTACAGGAACATTTATTTTTCTCAATAAAAATTAAAAAATACGTTAAAAGCTTTTTCGTCTACAGGGCGACACCAACATATCCTTATCTACTGTTTACAAGTGATAAACGTACGCAAGTGATTTGAATTTATTTTGTTTTATGTCTGTACACTTTGTTATTTTACATACAGTAATTTCGCTCAATTATTTTAAATAAATTTTATCATTTATTTATTAAAAAAATATATCCGAAATTAAAAAGTATACAATAAGATTTGAATTATAAATTAACTTTTATATTGCACGGGAATTTTTTTTAATGAATATATCTTCGAGTTAAGAATAATGAATTCCAGCATGTTAACAACTCTTTAAAGTGTTAAAGTAGTGTATATTTTTTCAAACTTAGTAAATCATTTTTTTTTGCTTTCGAGCGTGGCTTTGATCTCTCACACTCTTTGATGCGCGTTGCAAAAGAAGATTTTCTAAAATGTTTGATAATGTCTATAGATGAGAAAAAAATGATTGTGACAAGAGATCAAGAT